CTGTAAGAACCAGACCAACCTCATAAAAAAATACTACAGGGAGTTTTTTTGAACAGAAAGCCCCTAACAGCAGACAACAACCTGAAACTAACATCACAGAACAATCACCTAGACTTGACCCAGATGTTGTTGTTCTTGTTAAGTGCCATCAAGTTGGTTCTGATTTATAACGACCCTGCATGAGATATCCTTGGAGCAGCTGGTGGGTTTGAACTCCCGACCTTGTGGTTCGCAGTCCTATAGCATCACACCAGGAGTCTAGATACAGAAGTATGCAAAGTCAAACTGACCAATAAGACTGAAAACAGAGCTAGAGATATACCTGCAACAACAACAACCAAAAAAACCCACAAAGTAAAACCAGATTAAAAATGTAGTTACAGACCTTCCAACTGGAGAGAAAATCAGTCATCTTTCAAGAAAGCAAAAACACATGAGGTAAATAAACAAAAATAAAACCTAACAGTAAGACTAAAATGTAGACCAAGTCTGACTCCTAACCCTAGGCCAACCCTTACCACTAACACTAACCCTAGTCCTAACCCTAATCCCAACACTCAACAGGGACGTAGGCCTAGCTTACAACTAACCACAGTCCAACCCTAATTAATCCTCTCGCTGTACCCATCTCTCAAAACAGCAAAAGGAAACTCAAGTGACATATTGTGTTAGGCAAATATGCTTCAAAAGACCTATGTGACGTGTTCAAAAGCAGACCTGTTGGGTTGAGACTAAGGTGTTTCTGACACAAGCCACGGCTTTTTCTATGGCCCCCTATAGATGTGGAACCTAGCCAATGAATAAATAAGGCAGACAGGAGAACTGGGTTTGTTCAATTACGGGGTTGGTGAAGAATATTGATTATACCATTGTCTGTGACCATGAGTGAGAACAATTTTTATTCTGTCAAGAGCCATTTGGATACCTATTACATCATTCCCATTAGGTACAAAATCATCAACTTAAAAATTAGCCTATGATATTTGGTCAAATATTTAACTCACCCCCTAATGAGGAGTCCTGGTGCGATGCTAGCAAATAAAGTACTGGACCACAAGGTCGGTTTGAACTGCAAGATCGGCGGTTCAAATCCACCAGCCACTCCTCGGAAAACATATACAGCATCACACTGAGTCAGAACCAACTTGATCAACTTAACAGCCCACAGTTTGGCAATTTCCTGCCAGTGTAGTTTTACAGTCAGTTTTTAATTACCTTCAATACAATTTTACTTGCATGTGATATTAATGATATTGTCTGACGCTGTCTGCATTCCATTGGATCACCTCTCTTTGGAATGGGCACACATACGGATCTCTTCCAGTCAGTTGGCCTGATAGCTGTCCTCCAAATTTCTTGGCATGGATGAGTGCGTGCCTCCAGTACTGCCAAGGTGTACTTGCTCTAAGCCATGGTATTTTCAATCACTTCATATGTATGTGAAAGCTGGACAGTGAATAAGGAAGACCAGTAGAAGAATTGATGCTTTTGAGTTATGGTGTTGGAGGAGAATATTGAAAGTGCCATGGACTGCCAAAAGAACCAACAGATCTGTGTTGGAAGAAGTACAGCCAGAGTGCTCCTTGTAGGCCAGGATGGCCAGACTTCGTCTCTCATACTTCAGACAAATTGTCAGGAGGAACCAGTCACTGGAGAAGGATGGCATGTTTGGTAAGGTGGAGGGTCAGAGAAAAAGAGGAAGACCCCCTCAGCGAGATGGATTGGGCTCAAGCGTGGCAACAATTGTGAGGTTGGTTCAGGACCGAGCAGTGTTTTGTTCTGTTATACATAGGATTGCTATGAGTCGGTACCTACTCCATGACACCTAACAACAACAACAATAGTGCACCTGTGACTTCTTCCTTCAGGATCATTGGCTCTAGATCATATGCTCCCTCTTGAAATGGTTGAGCATGGACTATTTCCTTTTGGTACAGTGACTCTGTGTATTCCTTCCATCTTCTTTTGATGTTTCCTGCATCCTTCAATATTTTACCCAGAGAATCCTTCAAAACCACAAGTAGAGGTTTGAACTTTTTCTTCAGTTCCCTCAGCTTGAGAAATGCTGAGCACCTTCTTCCTTTTGGTTTTCTGAAGTTAAAAAAGGAAAAAAACTTTGATTCTGCTGGCATCTAGTGGTCAGACCTTATTAATGCAACTGAACTTTTTGGCCCTTTTTCATCTCTCCAAGTCATGGTGTGGCGCTATGGGCTAATGTACCAAACTGCAAAGTCCTTTGAACTGTAAGGACGGTGGTTCAAGCTCACCACCTGCTCCTCGGAAACTCTATACAGGGTCACTCTGGGTCGGAACCGATCCCATGGCACTTGATGACAACAACTTCCATCTCTCAGGGCACTTGTTCATGCTGTTAGGTGCCAACGAGTAGGTAGTGACCCATAGCGACCTTATACACAGCAGAATGAAACACTGTTCGATCCTGGGCCAACCTCACTTACTGGGAGGGGCAGAAACCGGAGTCCAGTACCGGCCAGAGAGGGAGCAAGCCCTCCGGCTCCCAGCCACTCTGCTGAAAGTGGCCCCGCCCTCGACACCCGAAACCAACGAGCCGCGTGGCAGGGGCCCGCTGCAGTTTTAGAAGAAATTCAGAAAGCCTCCCATCTGACCCCCAACAGCCGGTAGAGACTGTCCCCTCCCTGTGGGCCCCTTCCTGCCCCTGAACCAGAGCCGCGGAAGCCTGATAACCCTGCCTTCATAGTGTCTTTCAGCTGCGTTTCCCAATCTGCAGCGCCCTTCTCAGTAGCGAGGCCCAGGCGATACGTGTAGCGTCTGTGAGCATCCCCGACCTGTACCACCCTCCCGCCCTGAGATCAGAGCTTGTTAATGAATCAGCCGAGAGTTGCCTCAGTCCCTCTGAAGCACGCGCAGAGAGTGAGCTTGCGTGTTCCAGAGAAAACTTTCTTCCCCCAGTGCAAGGATAAAAGCAGAGCTGTCGGCTGCCGCCTCCCTTTAGTAAGCAGGAAGCCTGGCCGAGCCTGAGCTCGGTGCGTTGCTCTGGCCCCTCACTCGTCCTCTGGCCGAGAGCTAGCGAGGAGAGGCAGGAGCCAGTGCTGAGAAGAAGCGCCCCCTTTGTCCCTCAGCCCCCTACAAAAAGAGGCAGACACGGTGGGGAAAAAGGAGGAGGCCCAGTACAAAAAAAAGGGAGGCAAGCCTGCCAGCTCCCAACTCTGCTGAAAGTGCCCCCACGTTAAGCAGTCCCCCATGTGACCTCCAACAGCTGGTAGAGTCTGTCCCCCATTGGACAGGAGGGCAGACACCTCGGGCACCTCAGGGCGTGAGTGTTTTCAAGGCTTCACCCCACATCCTCGGCAGCGCACCACACTCTCCCCATGTTCGCATTACATGTGTGTCACGTCCCAGGCACCTTAGGGCCCATGTCACGCTCCCGATGAGGCTCAAGGTTGCTGAGAGAATCTCCTGGTGTACTGGGAGGCTGGCTCTCTCCACACTGCTGTATCCACCACCAGCCTTAACTAGTATTTAGTGTTGATAGGAACAGTGGTAGTAATTGTTGCATGTTGGCAGCAATTCTCCAGATAGTTAAAAGTGATGTGCAGCCAAAATAGTGACACAATGTTGCCTGATCCTATACCAACATGTGAATATCATTTCACTGGTACCATTCTATCACCCAGCAGGAGAAGTTTCCACTTCTTTTCCCAGGGGTGAGAGAAGTCATTAGAAGGCACAATTTTTAAAAAGGGACAATAGAGAGATTGGAAGCATGAGTAGATAGTGTTTCTGAGTTTAGAGATATAGAGGCATCAGATAAGACAGTTAGGGATAGGAGAGAAGTACTGAGGACAAAGTTAACAGCAAGCAAGTAGATGTAGCTGAAAAGGTAGCTAGAATGATGACAACTGATCAAGACTCTCAGTCAAGTGTGAAGAGTTGTAAACCAAAGTGCTAGTTCCAAGAGAAAGAGATAAGAGTGTAGATTCAATACAATATATCTGAAGAAAATCAGACTGTATTTTGTTGAGCAGCATAGAAGAAAGATCAAGAAGAGAGTAGATCCTAGACAAGACTATTCAATTCATCTTGAGTGATTTACAGAAAGTAGCTGAGGGACCGTTACAGGAGTAGGGCATGAGAGTAATTTGCTGTGTAGCAGAGTGAGAATGCACAAGAGAAGAAAACATTTACCTCAGGAGCTAGGAGATCAGGTGAGAAGTGTAGAAAAGAAGGAAAAAGGAGAGGCAGACCAGATCACCAAGCAAAAGAGATATTGCTCTCTGCAGAGCTGAGAATAAGGCTGAGCTTCTTTGCATCAAGTGCAAGGTTAAGTTTATAGGCGAAACACAAAAATTGGCAAAAGAATTACAAGAAGAACCTCCCTGGGAAGCTTGTTCAAAAGTTTAGAGAATATTTTGAAGCAGTGAGTAAGATTGAGGACCAGTGAGGAAAGAAAAAGAGAAAGCTAAATCAGCAGTTTCCAAACCAAGAACCTAGATAGACCACAGGAGGTAAATCGATGGCATTAGAGTATTCAAGTCAGATTGTAGAGTGTAGATCAGAAAAGGAAAGATACAAAGACCAGAATGTAAGGCAGTGAAGGGAAGTTGAGAGAAAAAGGCATGATGAATTGAGAAGAAAGAGTAAGATGTAACCTGTTAACAACCCCAATGACAGGTTAGTTAAGAGGCATGTAGACAGAGTCCAGTATATAAGTAAAAAGATGGCAAATAGTAGAAGAGTTGATTTTGTTTGAAAGATGTTTAGAAGTGTAAAGTTTAAGACTTAGGAAGTTAAAATGACCTTAGAATTCTAAGGCATTTCTAGTAAGTAGCAATCTATCAACTAAATATATCAGTAGCCCACCTAGGATGATTGTCAGCTCACCACAGAAGAGCGAGAAAGAATCCAGACAGAGGCCAGGAAATTGGTTCCTGGTAATAATAGGCAACTCACCACAAATGCTTACATCATTAGAACCTTTCTCCTTTCTCCCGTTCTCCCGACCAGACTGGAATTTCAACATGACAGAAGGTAAGGAGAGACTCCAAGTCTGCTGCCAGGCTCTGTTGGGAGGTCTAAAAGTGGCTACAAAGCCCACAAATTTGGCCAAAGTAAGGGATATGCAGCGAAAGCCAGATGAGAGCCCCGCTGCATTTTTAGAAAAGATTCAGAAAGCCTTCTGTAGGTATACTCCTATAGATCCAGAAGCAACTGAGATTAAAGCAGCTGTTAGTCAAACAGCTCCTGAAATTAGAAAGAAGTTACAGAAGTAAGTAGACTGAGAAAAAGATAATATCCAAGATTTAGTAATAATAAGCTGAGAAAGTGTATGACCATAGAGAAATGGCAGAAGAGAAACAAGTAAAGTCAGAAAGTCACCAGACTCAGAACCTAGCTTGAGTCTTGCTAGCCACTACTGCAGAAAAGACAAGAGAACTGCAAGAGACAGGAGAAGTAAGAGTGAGCACAGAGAAATCCTGGCTAGAGAAAAATCAGAGTGCTTACTGTGAAGAAAAAAGCCACTGAGCCAGGGATTACTCCAAGAAAAGACCAGAGAATAAACTGAAAATTCCCATCCTAGCAGTTGATGAACTGAGTGACTAGGAGGAATGGGGTTCAGTGTCCCTCCCAAGCCCAGAGTGACCCTGAAAGTAGAAGAGAGCTCATTCAGGTGTTGATTGTAAATCTTGAAGAAACGTATCAGCTACACCAAAAGCTGGCACAGCTGAACCCTGATATTGACTGGTGGTTGGTAACTGAAGCCGTGCCAACCATCCTAGAACACCCCCTTGTTGCCAGTACATAAACCCCTCTCTATTGACTGTCGGCCCTTGCAAGACCTCTGTGAAGTAAACAAGAGAATACGCCTGTTGCCAGAAGCAATAATTTAGCCGACCAGAGGGCCAGAGAAAATTGCTTAAAAGCCAGCATAGCCCTAGTGACTCAGTTGCCTGAACCAAGAGACACCGCCTTGCCTGAAGGCCCGCCTTATACCAAGGCCAACCTAGACTAGATCAAACATCTGACCGTGAAACACCTCATAGAGAAAAAAAAAAAAAAAAAAATGCATCAGTCCACTCACATGAGCATTTCTAAAATGCAAGACCTCCTGAAAGAAGCAGAGATCAAAATTTGTAATGCTAACTTCAAGATTGAGCACATTGTTGCTGTCTGTAAAGCATGCCAGCTCACCAACTCAGCTAGAACTAAAGCTAACCCAGGCTGCAGGATGAGAAGAAATCTATCTAGTGCCTGCTGAGAATTAGACTTTTCAGAAGTAAAACCCAGAAAATATAGTTACAAGTATCTGTTAGTCTTTATAGACCCGCCTTCATTTCCAAAGTAAGTCAGAGTTTAGCTAAAGTACTGGGGGTCGATTGGAAATTACATTGTGTATACAGACCCCAGAGTTCAGGTCAAGTGGATAAGATGAATAGAACCCTAAAAGAGACCTTAACTAAAATAACCTTGGAGACTGGCAGTATCTGAGACTGGCAGTATCTGAGTAGCTCTTCTCCCCTTTGCCCTCTATAAAGTGAGAAAATGTCAAACTGTGATTAGTAAATATTATATACCTCCCTCTAATAAGTAGTAAGCTTGCTCCACAGGGACTCCCTGTGTGCATAAGAGAAACTTTTGTGTCTTGGTTCAATTAATCCCCAGATTAATTTACCATTCTGAAGAAGATGTCTTCATGCGTTTCAGCGACAACCTTGTTAGAGTTAAATGTGAGCCCATATCTGCCCTTACATTGACAATACCTCTAAGATTAGAGTTAGGCAGTGTCAGAACAGGTGTTTCCTCCTTAGTTCTGCAAGAGCAGCACTACGGCACATTGAAGGCAGCTATAGACATAGATATTGAGAGACTAGAAAATTCAATCACTCATCTGCAAGAGTCCTTGACTTCCTTAGTAGCAGTAGTATTAAAGAATAAGAAAGGCCTAGACCTAATCTTCTTACAACACGGAAGACTCTGTACTGCACTAAGAAAAGAATATTCTATATAAATCATTCAGTTGTCAAAGAATCTATAACCAAAGTCAGAAAAGACCTGGCAGAAAATTGAACTAACCCCATAAGTCCCATGATTGGGCCTTTAAAAGTTTCTTGTAGAGGGGGGAATATATGGCCAAAGAGAAGAATCCATTTCGTATATATGCTTTAGCATGTCCTCTAGCTCCAAGAAAATGATATATGTATAAATAGCCAGGCAACTCAAGGCCAGAGGCCAGATGTTTTCCTTTGCCCTAGCCTAAGAACAAAGACCACCAATCCTGACCAATTAAACTGTAACATCTCATAGTTTGCCAATTGTTAACCAATCCAAAGATTGTAAAGCTGAGAAACCCGAGCTTGTTTGAAAACTCTATAAAAACCTTGCAGACAAAGGGTTCGGGGCTCTATCCCTAATCCGCTGCGTCAGATGAGGTGGAGTCCGGGCTCGAGCTTGAATAAACAACCCTTGTGCACTTGCATTAGTGTCAGCTCCTTGGTGGTATTTGGGGACCCCGAATTCTGGGCATAACATCACGAAGTTGGGAGATCTGAGAGGCGAAAGATATAGCCTAGAGACAAAGAGAAACAAGGAGACAGACACACAGATTTGATGTAAGCTGAAAGGCAGATTGGTCTTCTGCAAACTGCATTGATGCAGCCTTGAATTCAGCATGGCATGAAGCACTAACACTGCCTCAGCCTTTTATTATCTTTTTCCAAGGAGGGACTTTTCACAAAAGGAGGATATGATTATTCAGATAAAATAAAATACAGAATTGAAACATGATTAATCATTCAAAACAGGATACAATAATTCATAGGAGCAAATTTAAAAATATACATCATAATTGTCTCAAGGATACTTAACATGCATTTAGCACTTAATCTCTAATGGGTAAAGGTGAAAAAGACTTAAAAGGTCATAGAAGGCTTAAAGTAAGGTTTTTAAAGGGAGTCAAGCTGTCTTTGCATACTTTGCAAACAAAAGCTCATGTTTTTGTTTGTGAGCAAGATCTCAGACACCTGGCTTCATTTATCAACAAATAATTCTTTCTTCTTTACTCTTACAATTCCAGGGAAGATAAGAGATGAGTCTCAACCTTTCTAAGAAGGTGAGGTCTCGCTTTCTCATTCCTAGTCTTCTTTCTGGATTCTACATCTAAATGCTACATCACATTTCCATATACTTCCAGGAGGAAGGGGAGCATCTGGGTTAAACTGATTATACCCAGAGGCCACTTGAGGGGGCTGCCATTATTTACCTCTAATCAATACTCCCAATATACCTGTTTTTGGCCTTTCTGAGTCCTCTGAGAGGACTTTTTACTGTCTCGGCTTTAGAGGGGTTTGGTCCCATTGTTGTATATGGACATCAAAGGCTTATGCTTTAAGTTAATATCAAGATGTAGTTATGACATACATTCCAGGTGGCTATTGTCTGTTCCTCGAAAAAGATTTGTTCCCAGGACCCTATGCACTGCCAACACAGTGGAGACATTAACATAGGCACATAAGAATCCATTTTCTCAGAAGCTACAATTACTGGAGTTAGAGGCATAGAATGAACATTAAGACCAAAGAAAATTATACTGAGGTAGCCCACCAGTGAGTTCCCAAAAACCTATGAACCCAGGACTTCAGGAGGTCACTTCCTTGGCCCTCAGGGTCCATGGCCCGCAATGAGGAGGGCCCCTTTGGATTTTCATCCCTCTTGTCACAGGGGCCTCAGCTTCTCAGTGATTGCAAATGCTGTCCCCAGCAGATTACTACAGCTGATGTTTAATTCCCATAACTGTTTACTGTTGTACAGAATCTTGAGTTAGAATCTAAAATTATCGTGTATTCTTGTGCTACAGAAACCCAACAGATGAGATGTGTATATGCAAGTTTGTAGGGTTACAGTTTCCACTGAAAGACAATTTCTAGATCATCTGGTCTGTTTCCACTTAGATTTGTTTTTGTTTTGTATTTTTCATTTTAGCTTATATGACGTTCTCAAACAAAGAGGAGTGTTTATTTTATCTGGTGCTAAAAAGTGACAGATATTATCACGATAGGACACACTTTGATAACAACTGTATTCTTACATAATCCCAGAACACTATGTCAGTGTGAGTTTAGTTTTATTGTTATTTTTAACTGTATCTCTGTGAATGGGTCATTCATTACTGTACTTTTAAAACACTTGTTTCAGTAAAAATAAATGGAACTTACTAAGATCCAGGTGTTAGTGTGGATATAAAAGTTCTTTTGAAGTAAGCTAAAATAAAACCAAAATGAAGGGGTTTTCACATGACTTTGTACAATTGACTCAAGGAAAGGACATTGCTTATTCAATTTAGCTGGACTTTGAAGTTGACAATAAATAGATCTGGGTCAGTTTTCCTGGCATTTCAGTGTGTCCCACCATGATCATATCTTCTCCAGCCTGAAGATGTTTTTGAGTTTCATCCACGTTGGTGTGGGCACCTGTTCTTGTGAGTGTTGCTGGATATGAGTGGTTCCGGTGTCAATTTGCTTCTAGTGAGTGTAGCGGCTCATGTGTACACTGTTGGCACTGATGGGAGACAGCTGAGTGCTGAGCTCGTGGTCCAGTGAGGTCCTCACTGCCAATGCTTCCAGCCCCCATCTCCTCCCCGAGACCTGTTTTGCCATTGTCCTGTGACTTTATTGAAACACACAGAAGAGCAAGTTTTTGCAAAGAAGCACCTTAATCAATCATGTATGTAACCCACATATATGTTCTCCAAGTCTTCCTGCTAAATCTTTCCTTTCACATTTCCCAACTATGTCTTCCTGGATTATTTTTCACTCAGTGATGTTACTCTATGGCAGAGTGGATTGTATGACTGTATATCAAGATTGATACTGATCATGTTGTACCCTGAAGATCACTGCACATTATGATTAAGTGCATATGTGTAAAATAAAAATGTGTAACTGCCATTTTCAAAGGTACTTCTGCTATTACCTATTGGCCTTCAGAACAGCTGGCATCTTCCTACCTCAAACCCTGGAAAACTCTCTCAGCGTCTTCACCATTTATAGAGATTCAGACTAGGTTCTCCCTCCTCCCCCTCTGTCAGGAGTCTGAAGAATCAGCCTCAACTGAAATCGCTGCCTCTCATTTGATGTGGAAGACAAGCATTCGGTCAGAAACCGTTTTTGCACAGCAAAACCACACTTCAAAGACAGAATTGGGTCTGTCTGTGTGAGTGGTAAAGTCCCTGTGGATTATGGATCCTGGATTAAGTACAGTTTTCTATTACTGGTCCCAGATGTCCTCCCCCAGGGGCAGGTTTGAGGTTGGCCCTCACTGATTGTCTTATTAGAGTAGAGGAGTGCTCATTTTATTGTTAGTAACAGGACACAGGCTTGTCAGGAATGGGGTGATACACCTTCTGTTTTCTTTGTGGTTGTCTGTTCCTCTTTCTATTTTGACAGAATAGCTGACTCGCTGTTGTTTGGGTTCCTTGTTCTTCTCAAACCTGAGGGTGTTTTTTTCTTCCATGGTCTCGGGTTCTGCTCCCTGTCCCCTTCCCCCTAGGCTGTCCGCATTAGTGTGAATCATGCCATTGGGGAAAGACAGGTGATATGTAAGCGATGACATTTCTGAAACAAAAGCCAAACTAGAGACGTAAACAATTCAAGATGGGGAAATGTTTGTGAAGTCCAAAGAAACTATGTCTGCCAACAGCAGTAAAACTGTTTCAAAGGGTCAAAACTGAACTTTGAAGCTTTCTCTGCCCCACAAGCGTATGTAGGCTGACTAAAACCCGCCATTTCCCTTCATATTCTCGTTAAAGAAACCCTAAGCATTTGTCCGTAGAGGGAACAAGGACAATATGGACTAGATTCCAAACGCCAGAAAAGCCATTGAACACCACGATAACAATCAGCGAGATTCCACTATGTTTCTGCACGGAACCTTTTCTCTGATGCACCAAACCAGCACAAATTCCTCAGGCGGAAGTTTGAGTTCTCACTGGGCTTCCTTCTACTCCAGTGATAGGTTCGTGTCCACTCTGTCTCCTGTCGGCTGGTTCCACCCCAGCACCCGCTGCCGCCCCGCAGGCTCATATTAAAGTCCGAGTGCGCTGCTCCCTGTCTCCACCGCGCCCTCGTCTGCGGATGTTCTTAGGTCCTCTGAAGACGCGTAATGCGTCCCCGGGTCACGTGGTGTGCGTCCTCACGGAGCAAATTGCTCTTCTATTTCCGCAGAGTCAGGGGACCCGGGTCGGTGACAGTGGAGTCCCCGTTACCTGGTTACTGTCCTCCCTTATATTCTGGGCTCAGGTTTGTGTTTTCTTTTTGTAACTTAGCCGTTCCCCCTGGGACACGCCCACTGACTCCGCCCACCTCACTTCCATTTCCGGTCTCACGCGTGGAGCAGGGAGAGGAGCCCAGCCGGCGGTTCCAGTCCATAAACGAGCAGTATTGGGGGCGCGCATGGCCGCTGTGCATCTGTTTCTAACGTGCCCCGAGCTCCGCGTCCACTCTCGTCCCTCGGCCTGAATCCGCGGAG